ATATCATTGTGACGTCATGACTTGCGTAACAATCACTCAGTTTAGTATTTTGTAGCTGGAAGCATTTTCAAAAGTGATGTCTAAGAAAGTGGATAAGTCGGCTTTGCCGGGATGGAAGAATGAACCAAAATATACAAATAAAGTCCTGGTCGGAAATTGGTTTGAAGAAAGACTAGTGGTAAGATATCGAAATTACAATTGCAAAGATTTTAAGTAATGTTCCGAGTAAYAAGCAGGCAAGCAAACGGCAATGGAATGCATGAAGGTGCTAATTGTGTATTGTATAATCCATCCATCTCATTGGTTAAAACATTAGAATCTGACATAATTTCAAAAGTAATCYCATTTTTTAATACTTTGCTTAATATCTGATTCTAACTTCATAAAAGCTTTCCTTAACTTTAATATTAATAGCAATTCTATGCGGGGAACATAGCAAATTAGAAGCATCTTTTGGCTATTGTTTTGAGTGCTTATGATTGGGCAAGATCTTTTAATACAAAAGAAACTTTGTTTCAAAACAGAGTTTATCCACATTTTATTTTAAAAATGTGTTACCCATAGGTTGATATATAATCAGTGTGAAAACCAAGACATTCGTATGTGGGGAAGTTGCAATTGCCGCAGAACATAGAAGGTTGCCTGCTTTTGCGCGCATTGTTACTTAATCGATCAATGGCAAAGCGACTGTCTTTCTTGTTTTTGAGCATTTTTTTGCAAAAGAAGAGAGCTCTGTGGAATGTTTTGTTTGTTTGATTAAGTATTGTTTTTGCTTCTTTAATGATAAGTCTTAAGTATGTTATTTGTATTGTTATTTATTAGATGTTACATGTGATTGTTTATCTTTGATAGTTTCCAAAAGGTAACACGACAAATAACAGCACAAACCGAATTGATTTTTGCATCCCAAACACMGATGTAACAGATCGCATGACGCGTAGAAAATTGGCGCATAGAAATTGGGTAAGTCGAGATTMTTTGTCTGCTGGTTTGGAATGAATTGTGGAATCATCAAGATTTAAAAATTCCATGTCTTAATGACATACAAATAGACGCATAACTGTACTTAATGCCCTTTAACAATACAACAAACTCGATGTCGGAGTGTATTGCAACGACTACTAACCAATTGGCAATTTGGACACTCCCGAAATATTGTGCAATATTATAACACTGCAAGTCGTTGATTCCAAAACCACTTGCCACTTTTGTTCGTATACACTCTTGAGCCAGTTAAGGTAACACTTAGTAGAAAACACACCAATCAAACCAAARGTGCGTCATTCTCCACAGTCATCATTATCCAATTAACTCGAGTCTTTTTAATTTCTAARCATTKAGGAGGGTGTTGGTGAGAATAACTTGCTGACTCACCATGGGAAAGCTTACATGTCAGGATGTAAAAATAGCATTTATGGCCACAATTACGACCATCCATTTTCACGTATTCCGTATCCTCTGCGTCGATGGAATAGTCATACTATGTCCTGGGTTCCTGAACGCATCGATCTTCATTCTGCAGGTATGGCTTAAAGGCCCCCCCCCCCCCCCCTTAAATGCTGATTCGTACCCATAGTGGCCCATAGTACTCTCACACAATCTGTTAGTAGTAATCGAGTTGCAGCTTCAATATCGCTTTTGTTATGATATTTGAAGAGTTGAAAGGATGAGCAAACCCAATGCTTTTACGCAGGATTAACATTATCATGCAAAACTTAAAGTTTGTCTATAATTTCTGATTTCTATAATAGGCAAAGACAAGCAAAAGCTCGTGAATGACAAGGTAACGATTTGACTACAGGCTTTTTTCACTCCTAACGAGCAACATTTGAAAATAAAGGATCACACTTGTACCCAGAGCATCTCGGACGTTCCTTTCCAACGAAAGCGCTCTGTTTAGGAGAACGGTGAACATGCCGCAATAAACAACACTTGTTTTGTCTTAATTGCAGAGATCGACTGAGAAACTTGTAGCAAACTTTATTCAAAAAATTTAATTTGATTTTTAGACTGACAGTGTAGAAAAAGCAGAAAACCAGCAGCTTGACARTTTACCGCCCATCCGCGTCCCCGACACCTGGGACGGACGAGTAGTATTAAAATATCGACACAGGAAGACCGACATAGCGCCTTACTTTCCCGTTATWTTAAGGAGTTGTGAGAAGCGTTCTCARGTAGTTAACATGCAAAACTGTTTTAAATAAATTCACTGCATGATCTTTCCATAATATTGAGTTWAWGCGTTGAAAAACTGACGTTGCAATGTAATAAAACGTTTGACTGTTTTTTAAAGTGTATGTGTTCCTTTTGTCACGAATTTTATTATTTTTGGGGCTATTTCTTGAATTTGCTTGCTTACGCAGCGAGCGACTYGTTTTTAATAATTCTAACTATACTTTTGCTACAATCATTGGCAACAGAGCAGTCATAACAGATCATATAGCAGATCATCTTCCGACTTCCAGCCCTCTCAGGTACGTTGAAAAAAGTTGTGTTGCGTAAGGTTCATGGAAGWTATTTTCACATCTTTATTAGCGGTTGACACAGTGTGTTTCTTATCAATTGAWTGTGCAGTGCAACCTTACTGGCCCTTACAGTAATAACTATTAATTTTATATTCTCTCATAAATATATTAAACATTTTCGTGTGAGTCTACTCAAGTGCATGCACCTCTTCTTTCATTTTATTGTCGGTGATTTTATCTTCATCAAGTTCTTCATTACTATCTTCGTCAAGACTGATTCCACCGTTGTCTTCTTCAATACTATCCTCATCGCCACTATGATTGCTGTTCTCATCTTCCGCTGCATTATCAAGACTATCGTCCAGGTCTCCTTCGCAGTGCGTCAACCTGCCTGTTGTCGAGGCTAATTCCCACGTCAAGTCCTCCAAAGTAGCCTGATCTTCCTCGTCTTGTTCTTCTTTGCTGTGGAAATCTTTGGGCATTTCGGGCACACGTGWCGCGACGTCAARGATGACGTCATCATCACTYTCGTCATCCGACCAGTGAAGCTGCGGAGGTCTGGGTGACAGGGTTAGCGGTGACACAGTAGAAACGCGATGAACATCGTTGTAATCTTCAGATAACTTTCGCGGGATTGGACCCGCCTTTAAAAAGTCATTTATTCCAAAATCCTGCATGTTGTTGACTTCCGAGTCACTTGAATTTCGCTTGTCTATGGAYTCGTTAGTCGAAATACTTTGCTGRTCGASGCCAACAGGGGGTTCTTGTACAAGAGGAATTATTGGGAATGGTGACCTGTCGTCTTTATGTTGTTCGTCATGATCAGTTACTTCAACAATAGACACACTGTCGTTTGGTTTCCAGACACCTTTGGATAGCAGCTTAGAAGTAACAGAGGTAGACGTTAAATTTTTAGCTGCTCCTTTTTCAATGTTATTAGAGGATGAGGATTTAACACCCGCCAAGAAGAAGTCCGACAAACCAGTGTAAGTAGGTTTCGGGCTCCACACACGGGACGATACGGTCGGTGAAACCAATTTTACTCTATCTAACGGACTTTTCCTTGACTGTGAACCAGCAACAAGACCAGCTCTTGAAGTTCGAAAAGGATCTTCGCTAAAGTCTCCAAATGGAGTCATTCCTAATATGCTCACACGCCCACCACGTGATTGCACCATTCTCTTAGGTACTAAGGGCGCGGCATCYTTTGTACTGCTACTAATCTCCTCGACGATGCACGTGGTCGTTTCTTCTGTGATATTATTCGGACCTGCTACCTCTTCAATAGTTACTGACGATCTTCCATTATAGTAGTTTTGACAAGGGGAGCTCTTTGCGCGAGCAGAATGTACTCCTATTGTCTGGAAAATCTCCCTGTAGTTGACCCCAAAATCATCATTGCTTGCTTCYATTTGTGGCTTTTCATCGAGGCTTCTGATCTTATCTCTGCTTGGTGTCCTCTTTCCAGGAACCTCAGGTTCAAAGTCTCGGTGTTTTTTGAGTACTAGACGATCAAGGTATGACATTGATTTGTTGGAGCCAAAGTTCAAATTGATTTCAACTGGTTGCAGTTTCTCTGGATTTGTGCTTGTCTCACAAGAAACGGTTGACACTACATAGGAATAAAGAGATTTTTTAGCTCATTACTGTTAGAAATCCACAGATCCGATATTTGCAAACATGATATAAATGAGTTTGAAATAGTATATAATATATGCTAATTTAAAATTGATGCTGGGAGATGATTTTTTACCAGCAATAATTGTGAAGGATATATCTACCTCTTCTCAAATTCATTGACAATTTGACATGATTTGAAGTGCAAGTTGGATATTTCAATATGTCACTTAGCCAGTAAATCAACAAARAGTAGTACCTTTGTCTGCCGGATTAACCCAAGTGTTCTCTTTTCCTTTATTGGTTCTCCATTCCTTGAGAGCTTGTGCAAAAGAATCAGAGCTCTCCTTCTCATCATACACTCCTTGTAGAAGTGCCCCACCAGTTTTATTTTCAGGAGAGGTTCCATTCTAAAAAAACAAATTTCACATATTCATTTTGTTTTTTTCTGATTGATGTGCACCACGGGACTGGACCCAGCAGGGGTGGGTCCAGAAATTTTAGGGGAGGGGGGGGGAGAGGCACACATATGTTTTTTTGTTTTACATTGGTCTGTCTGTCTTAATTATGGAATGTGAGTATGTTTTTCTGTATGAAGTTAAGCAGGACTTTCCCTTAAAGTGGGGACTGGCCCTGCCCTAGGTACTCCCATTGGATCCAAAGATGAATATCACATTAACATAATCATCAACATTGACAGTGTACATGTAGTCTCACCTGGAATCTCCTTGTAGCAGGTAATTTTGGTCTTGAATCTGATCTATTGGTAGTCATACCCTTTTCTTCAAACACACCAGTYCCAACCTTAAGAAAAGAACAGAATCAGCTCACAAACTGATATCTAAACACAGAGCATTTGAACCACACATAAACAATATTGGTAAATATTATCATCTTTGGTCCTGACTAAATTACCAGTTCAGTCATAGTTTTATTAATACGACCCACTCAACCCAACTCTATTAGTGCATGTACTATCTACTATGGACTTATTATGATGGAAACAGATGATGACAGCAGTTACTTGAGTGTCTCTGAGTCCATGRTTTAATACACWACACAGGTAGCCCAAATACACATTATATTATGCATTRTGGGATTGATAAATAAGTAAAGAAGGAGCAAGATGTAAATACTCCAGTCATCTGAGCCACGGACCTAGTTCTTAGAGAAATATCAGGAAATGTAGACTGTATATTCACTAACAGATATTCTAAATCAGACTCTTGACACAATCAATGGAGTTATTTGTAGTTTAGCAGTTAAAATGTTTTGTTTGTAACTCACCTGGTCTAGATTCTGAGTTGTATGGTTTCTTAATGCACCTTTCCTGTGGAATCCCATGAAACAACCAACACAGTAGTTTTCTGTGCACTCTATACAAGCCTGAAATGTTGATAAGTTTTTTTTAATTTAACATGAAACTAACAGTTACTAAATAATAATATACAAATACAATGCGTACTGGAAAGAATTTGTAATTTGCAAAACAACCTCCCAATTCCACAAAAKAAAATCACATGCTTTTAATTTCTTACCAAAGTTGCCTTTGTTTTCTCACATTGGCCACAAATCATGTCAYTGCCAAAGCTGTCATTCAAGCTTTCTCTAAGAGCAGACTTCTTTGCGTATGAAGCTATTGATACAAAAAGAAAACTTGTCAAATTTAGTTTCAAGGCTCAAAATGCCTATAGTATATTGCAAACTTACAAAGAGGCTCGTCTGAAAGAAGTTTGATCTTTCTTGGTCCCTAGTACAGAGATATTACAAAAAAGGTTAGTTACAGTACAACACTGTTGTCAAAGTACTAGRTAGAGATCATATTGTCATGAGTATAATTATCGCCATCTGTCTTGACAAACCAATATTCTACTCACTAGACAACATGTTCCAATATACACGTCTTCACATACCTTTTCTGTTTTAATTGGTTTTTTCTTTGAAGCTTGATGAGATAAAACAGGTCCAGTTTTACCAGACATCCATCTTGACCCTCCAAATTTCCTGGCAAGAGGAATAATCAAATTACTTAAATAATTTTATTTTTTTRAAAAAACTAATCCACYCATTGTCTTATAGGAAAACACAGGATACCATTAGAAAGAAAGAGAGAAGTGGGTCTGGAAAAACAAATAGAAGAAGACAAATAAGAAAAAAGGAAAGAAATTGGAGAAACATTTTTCAATCAAACTTACTCTCTTTCCTCTTTTTCTTTGACCATTTGATGTTTCAGAGCTCGTATTCTTTCCTCCATTCGTTTGGTCTCTTGTTCTAGCTGCTCAGCCGTTGTTTGCTTGAGTTGTTTAGTCGCTCTGAAATAACAAACCATCATCACATTCCACAATTTTATACAATGTAAAGATTTGGTAAATGATTTGAATCAAACATAAAACGAGCCTTTCAAACTTCTAGTTAATTGAGGTTACCAATTCAACTGATCTGTATCAACTATAAAATCACAAAAATTTTCTAAAAACAAAAGTTAAGCTTCTTGTGAAAATCAATCTTTGGCAGAGTATAGCTTTTAGATAGTGCCTATATTTTTGTTTTGAGTTATTACTTCAGTTTTTAGCTGAAAGCACGCACAAATCAAGATTTTTCACGACATCATGTATAAGATAATTTCTAAAYTATCGTAAAGAAAATTAATGCAAACAACATAATCAAATCGTATTTAAGTATATCTTGAAAAGAGACTTCAAATCATAACTGCAAAGAGAGGTTGTTGATCGATAGAGTTCATAGGGGCAATATTAGCTTTTTACACTCACTTTTTCCTTAATCTGGTATGCGATGGATCGAAAGACATGTCTGCACCAATAGTCATTCCAACTTTAACTTGAAATATTTCTATAAACTCGCACAATTGAACAAAACAGTAATTTTCTCTTGGTTCGCGACTCAGTCTAGTTTTATTATGGCCGCCGTTTTCGCATTTTGATCACGTGATCTACTATGTTGACTCACCATGGTAACCATMTGAGAATAAAAGGAAAATCAAAAGGAAAAGAAATTTGCGGAATGAAATCGTTTTATATCGACAACTAAACTAGAAAATATCGTTTACTCTATGAATAGCATCACATTTTTGCTTTAATGGACTACAAATGATATACACCGTAGTAACTTGAAAAAATTGAATGTGTTAAATTACGTCAGAATACTAAAATAACTAATACGAGCTTTGTACAATTCTTTTTAATTATTCAGAATTGTAGTGATGTAAAGGTTCAAAATAAGGCTTTTTATGTAAGCGCAATCAATATCTTAAAAAATAATCACAAATGAATGGAAAAGGAACAAAAATGTTTGACTAACGTGTCAGCTCGTAGTAACTTCACTAAGATGTCTCCAAATCGATATGCATGATGTTTATGCATATAATGTGAACTCAATTCAAGACATCCCACATGGTTATTTGAGTTTCGAAAGGAGCAAACCGATTTTTAACCCAGTTATATATTGAGGCGAAGATCATCATGAAGAGAATAACTGGTTTTGTTTTTCTACTGTTGATTCACTATGGCATTACCGCGGGGTTGTTTGAAAGAAAACAGGACGAGAAGCGAAACACCGGGCATGTYATCGACAGRTTGAATTTGTCAATGTTAARATCTTTACTGARATTGACTGTGCTAACACGATGGATGACTCTTACTTGGAGGTTTTGGTACGTTCACCATACAGGATTAGCTATGATCTACGGTACGTTTAGTAACAGTAGCTCATTTTAGTCTAAAGGTCCGATTTCGAATAAGTGGGAATACTTTGCATGTTATTATCCCTTTCCCACTCGTGCGAAATCGACACTGTGCCTGATAGAGAAGGTGTCTCTTTTGGTACACGCACAAAATAATATTCAAAAGTTTTGATTCTGAAACCTTTAACATTAGCAAGCAGCAATTTCAATTGTCTGTAAAAAGATCAGAAATTAAAAAAAAATGCGAAAAAAACACTCATATCTAACAAATACCGCGCGAGACTGGGTCATGGTCAGCTCTCACAACATGGCGGAAATGTTCAAGATAACTTTTCGCGCACAAGTCTTCTTCGTAGTTTTGTTAGTATGGCTCGGATACTCGTTTGCCGAGCTAGACTTACAAAAGAAACTCGAGGAAGATGCTGCCGAAAGAGAAAGCAAGTATACAAAGCTAGACACTGGACTTTTGCTATTGATGATGGTCTTGCTCATCGTGACTGTCTTGACAGTTTGGCTGTTCAAAGTCAAACGATTCCGTTTTCTCCACGAGACAGGCGTGTGCATGATTTATGGTAAGCAAGAATTTCCTGCAGCTGGTTTTATGTCTAGTAGTACTAGTGTATATTTTCTTTCACGTGATTTTGTTACGGAAAACATTGTTTTTAGCGTGTTTTTTTCACGCATGGCTAATTGCACATCACCTGATCACTTCARRTGATTCCATTCATTCCGGTTTGCACTTATKAACCCGGTGAATATATCTAACCGAGSAATGATAATATCGTAAGTTTACTAAGCATAGTAGTTAGAGTCAACATCAAGGTTGAAGGCTGAATTGGGTGTCTGTTCCTGATCGCAACGTGTGCCCTTCAGTGACATCTCGGAAATTGACATGTTGAAGAGATAGCGCGTTTTTTCTTTCGCTATATTAAATTTCTTTTCTGCAGTTTTTATTAAATGCTTGATTATTTTGATGATTATMATCGTATTTGACGTGGTTTAGTTGCATATTTTAGCATTCTGTGRYTAGAGGGATCCCACAGTGAGCCAAGGGGTGGATACAGGGGCGGGATACAGGATTTTTCAAGGAGCTGGGAGGAACATTCAAAAAGTTAAACCTTTGATTTATATTCATTTTCATYTTCTTTAAAATAAGTTCATTCTTCTCTATCAAAATGGGTATAAAAATTTGTATAACCTCCCCCCCTCCCCCTGTATTTGATACTCAAATATGATAAATTTCTTGCAATGTGCAGCAAGATCATTTTGTGCGACAAAGCATGATCGGAGTTGTAGTCCACACACTTTTTCATGCACAACAAAACAGTCGAGCTAAGCCATTTTTCCTCTTGTTTTCAAAAATAGAAGACGTTGCTCAAGACATTTCTACAAAGAAAGAAAAAACTAAAAACAAAACAAGTCATGATTTAATAATGGATTAATAATTATAGTATATTTTAATACGATCATTAGGATTAATATGAATCCACATTCTGTCATATAAAAGTTTATGGGTATAGCCATAAACAAAACCTATTCTAATTTCATTGTTTTCTCTAAATTTAATGACTTCATTGCAGGGATGATAGTTGGTTGTATTATAAAATATGCTGGTGGTATTCACAAAAAGGGATATCCAGTAAATTGTACAATWCCAGTAGCTAAAGATACTATATGGGTACAAGTAGAGAATGGAAGTCAGTACTCGTATTCACTGAATGGTCCAGTATTTAAATCCAAAGGAGGAGGAGAATTGGAACAAAAGGTATCAGGTTATTGATTCTCTAAAATAGATGTATACATAATGGTCTAGAAATCATGTATTTAAGAAATATAAAACAGCGCYAATGTTGCTGTCCTCTGATATAAACATGGTAGGAGTTGAAAAGCACGAGAGAAGTAAGCTTAGAAACACGAGCATAGCGAGCTTGAATAAAATGAGCAAAAAAAAAGTCTCTGACATTCCATGTTCACCAGCAGAAATAAACCACTTAAGATAGCATACTTACTATGTAACAATATAACTCTCCTTGTTTTGCAGCATGTAAAAATTCACTCTCGTTATCATCATCACATCTATTTTGTTTGTCAGTAATGAGGCTGATTATGCATTCTTATTATGATTATTAACATTTTAGACTCACTTCAAATTTATTGTATGTTTTTTCTTAGGCTGTCTTTGATCCAGAGATCTTCTTTTATGTGTTGTTACCACCAATTATATTTCATGCAGGCTATGACATGAAAAAGGTACTCAAGATATTGATAATAAATGTTACAGTTTATTTGTCTATTGTTGCTCTCTCCAGAACGTGAAAGTTTCATTACTAAGTGATATTGCACCTTCTCATACGCTTAACATTGATGTTTCCTTTTCAGAGATATTTCTTTAGGAATATTGGAGCAATCTTAGCCTARGCATTTGCTGGAACAACAATATCATGTTTAGCTTTTGGGTAAGTTATGTCTATGAAATGTAAATGTTTTGAATTCAGAACATTACAAAGAAGCTATTTCAGTAAGGTGATGGTAGCTGATGAATTGTTATTTTCTTCTTAAAAAGGTTGACATTATATGCCTACACTAAAGTTGRCACAGTCCATGAGGACTTTGATTTTCTGGAGTGTTTGTTATTTGGCTCACTGATATCTGCTACTGATCCTGGTATGTAGTGTTATTTTATCTATAGCAGTTGAGTAATGATTGGATATCTTTGCAATATTGAGAAGAAAAAAAAAACTACAGATATAATAGCATCATCAATAAGTTACAAGAGCACTCACTGATAACTATGCAAAAACAATTTGCTCTTATAGCAATGACTTACTCTGTTGGCAAAGTATAACTCAATGAATAACATTTTCTGTCTTTTTMCAGTCACTGTGTTGGCRATCTTCCATGATTTACATGTCGATGTAGACCTGTATGCATTGGTWTTTGGTGAAAGTGTCATGAATGATGCAGTAGCTATTGTTTTATTTAGGTATTAATTAATAATCCATTTAATGCTTCCCAGTTCCATTTTAAATGGTAACATGTTTGCATCAAAGAGTTGAACCTGCAGTGATTAGATACCTTTTATTTACACGTCAGACAATTTATTATTTGCACGTACCTAAAATATCTCAACCCTTGATGAAAAGGCTRTCCACAAGATGGCACTGGGAACTGCAAAAATGAGTATTGTGCAGATTTTGAAACACAGTTTTAATAACCATCATTTCTACTAGTAGCCATCCAAAACTTTTAAATACATTTTGGCAAAGTATGGCAGATTTTCTATGACTGTTTCTAAAACACTGTAATAGCATGCTATATAATATATATTTTTTATGTTTCATTTCAGGTCTGTAGAGTCCTACTTGCTTGACAATGCAGGGGGCTTTCAATTTGACAAATTCTTTGGCTCAGTTGGAGTTTTTATAGGTGTTTTTTCTGGTTCTTTCTTTCTGGGCTTTTTAATGGGGCTTGTAACAGCTCTTGTATCCTTTTAACTGTATTCATTYTTGAAATATTGTARTTCATGGAAATTGAGGTTCAAAGATTTGATTGAGTCCAGGAGATTGTTCTTGTTGTATTCTTTTTCTTAACCTTTTACACAGATAACAAAGTTAACCAATATATCGGACTTCCCACTGCTAGAGACAGCTCTCTTCTTTTTATTGTCCTGGTCAACATTTTTGATGGCAGAGGCTGCAGGACTCACGGGTAAGATTTATCTATTTTGTTATTTTTAACTCTAATGAATGATAATATTGAAAAAGTAAATTGCAAACACTATTATTCTCATTTTGTTGTGTCCCAACAGGTATTGTAGCTGTTTTATTTTGTGGAATCTCTCAAGCACATTACACTTACAACAATCTCTCTGAAGAATCTAAAAGAAATACTAAACAAGTATGATAATATATAAGGAAACGCGTTGATAATAATGTTTCATTTAATAATTCATTTTTATTGCTACAAGAGCCAGTTGTACAGGGTGAGTGGTGCTATTCAAGGATCAGATTATGGTTGGGTTAGGGTCAGCTTAAGGCTGTATAAGGGTCAGATGAAAGTGGGATTAGGGTTGGCATAAGGTCAGATGAAAGTGGGATTAGGGTTGGCATAGGGTCAGATGAAAGTGGGATTAGGGTTGGCATAGGGTCAGATG